AATCTAGACAATGTGCTGTAGTGAGGAGTCATGTACTGACAATGGAGAGTGCCACTGAATTAATTATTTAAAGTGTGTTATCTAATGACTCATTCTTCTTGTGTAATTTCCTTTCTTCTCTTATTATAGTAGCGTGCTTCCCTGAAAATAAGACAGGGTCTTATATTAATTTTTGCTCCAAAAAAATGCATTAGGACTTATTTTCAAGGGATGTTTTGTTTTACAGTCATGTCATCTTCTGGTTGCTGCACAGTGGTGGAGGGCGGGGTTTCGCTTAACTGGGGCTTATTTTGGGGGTAAGGGCTAATAATATGAGCATCCTGAAAAATCATACTAGGGCTTATTTTCAGGTTAGGTCTTGTTTTCAGGGAAACCGTGTATTGCAACCCAGCTCTTCGTTACAGTTATGCTGTCTTCTTTTTTTCCAGCCATTCCAGCAGCATTTAGCAAGTTTTTCTTTTGGCAGTATTAATTGATTTGCAAACAGATAAAGATACTTGAACAGACCCAGAAAACTGTTCATAGGGTGTGTTAGTATGATAGTGGACTTATACTCAAATTTTCACAAGCTTTCATTAAAATCAGATCCAGGCAAGGGTGAAGAGCTGAAATGGGAGAACAGAAGCCACACTCTGCTATACAGTTTTTCACTGCTGATAGAGAATCAGATGTTTGAGTACTACATAAAATGTTCTTTATATGCAGAATTAACGTGTGAAGAAGAATGTTCTAGGTTTTCTCTTCTGCTTGGTGTGTTAGCTTTATATTGGTGAAAAAGTACTTAAAATAATTTGAGGAGCATTCAAAGCATTCAAACCACCATCACAGATTTGAAGTGGTACCGTTTAGGATGGAGAAAAATTACTACATAAAATGTTCTTTATATGCAGAATATATGCTTGTGGATGGAGAAAAATTAGTGATTTTTAAAAAAAATCAAATTGATTTAAACCACAATTTAAATCATGATTTAAATCAAAATTGTAAAAAAAGAACCTGATTTTTTTTTACCTTAATAGTGATTTAAATGAAATCCACTATGGTGCATCTTAGCAAGAGATACAGAGCATAGAGTTTCTGGTTGTCTGTTTTACTTCTAAGTCGAATTGGGAAGCCATATAAACAGCCAGGCTGTTGCTAGATTGGAGGTTGATTTACTGAGCAGCTGAACTGCTGTATAACTGAAAACATCTAGGAATCCGCCTTTTGGCTGTAAGAAACTGTGTTGGTATGATACAGAGTAAAACTTTGAAGGGAGTACTATGAACCCACTAGAAATCTAACAGCAATCCAGCCATATACGAGTATGTGAACAGATAACTCCATTAACTGCAGATTTCACCAGCCATGGTGACTGGGTGTAACCACCCACATTGTTTTTCCAGTGGTATCTGAGTTTCAAGGAGGAAATGAGGTCTGCAATTTAAAAGTTGAGATAATCTATGAAAATCTAGACAGTGCGGAATACTGTATGATCACAGCAACATAGTTAAGTGGATTCAAGGTCATACCCAAGTGGTTAGTCAGCAGTGGCAGACAGCAGCCTCTGAACAGCAAGCACCTTGGTTGGGAAAGTGGGGGGGGACATGAAGAGTTGGGCAATCTGTTTCTGACATGAGATTTCATTCTTGAGTTGAAACCCTTTGTCCTCATGAAGGTCATCAATTCCCGATCAAAACAGAAACACAACCATGGGGTCCATGTGCAAAATCCAAAACTAATGGAGCCTGATAATTATATTGGACCACTAGGACATCCTAAGCATGTTGCTGAATGGCTGACATTCCTTTTGTCCGTAAAGATGGCAAAGGCAGTTGAGTTCCAACACTGTTCAACTGCTTCTTTAAGTTTGCAATGGAAACTGCAAACCCTAATTTAACTGTAGAGCCTGAAACTTCACTCTCTAGCAGCATTTTGGGATTTTTTCTCTTCCCCTCCACCCATCCACTTTCCAGCTGTCCGGTGTGCAATCTGATGAAGACTCTTGGAGGACATGAAAACTCCCCTTTTGATGATATTTTGCTGGTCCAGTAAAGGTATTATCCACCCCTTATTTAATATTCTAGTCGGTAGTTATGGCCAGAGGTGTCAGGGAAGAACAAAGCCCTCTGCTGGTAAAGACCTGCAAATACCCATGGCTCAGTCAGGTAAGAAGTCAGGTACAAAAGCCAAGGATGCTGTTCAGGTTGCCTGCGGTACCCTGCAGAGTTAAGACTCTGTATAGCTGCACAACTTCCCTTTCCTGTCCCATCCTGCTGTTCTCTCTCTAGCATGAAAGTAAGCACATTCATAGAAGTGTTTTTGAGTTGTTTTCTTATGCTTGTGCATGATGCTGAGAGAACATAAGATGCTGAATTATTTCAATAATGATATGAAACTATCAAGATAGATAGGTAGGTAGATATCACCTAAAGAATGCTAGGACAGACAAGCACTGTCCAGTTGCCCCTGCTCTGCATCACCATCATCATCACCATCTATTTATTA